CTGGGGATCAACAAGTCGAAGCTCTAAGCCAAGGACAGTCGATCTACTACCTCTCAATTATGATTCAGCAAATGTTTGATCTTTTCGCTGTAAAGGGCAGATTTGGCTTACCATTTGGCAAGTTTATGTTCTCAAATCCGCGCAATTTCATCGGTATTTTCCTCGGCGGATGTTTGGCAATGTCCGTCGTCTATATTCCTCCTGTAAACACGGCATTAGGGTCGAGTTACAGACTAAGTCCATTATACTGGCTAGTACCTATTAGCGGAGGTGTCACTATGCTGTTGTACGTTTCTGCTCGTATCTTAATCCTCCGCCGACGTCATAGGTCTCTGATTAGCGGGGAAATAACTGATCTTCAAATGATGCCTACTATATATTCCGAATTTGAAAAGAAGGTTTAACTACCACAATCTTAAAGATGTTGCAAATCTCAAATCTTGAAAAAAAAAATGGTTCAGTTTATGTGATTTTACTTGTCTAATCGACGAGAGTACATTATAAGCTTATTTATTATGATTCAATAAAAGTCTCGAGACCTCACATTTTATTGTATTTACACTAAGAATGCAAAACTAAAATATAAAATCATCACTGTTTAAGTGAGTAATTATCTCGTCGTATCCATCATATAGTCTGTGTTTGCATGTTTCATGCGCGTAGGCTCCATATGAGATTGCATGCCGGATAAGATTGCATGTTTTATGCGCGTAGGCTCCGTATAAGATTGCATGTTTTGTGCGCGTAGGCTCTATATAAGATTGCATGTTTTATGCATGTTACCATTCAAATGCCGACAACCATAAACATATTAAAGACATCATCCCCCAAGCTCTTTTAACCATTGCAATATTTTGCTCATTTGAAATCCAAATCATAAACACATAATCTCTCAATGCTAACACCACCACCACCACCGCCGCCGCCAAAACCACCACCAAAAAAGGTTTCATACAAAAGGAGGTCCTCAGCTCCCCAACCTTCGGATAACTCGTCAGCTCCCCAACCTATAAACGTAAGACCATATTGGAACGGAAAAGTCGCAGCATGGTCTCAGAAATTGTGGTTACCTATTGTGACCGA